TGAAACCCTACTCAATTATGCATGTAGGTAGCCACAGCTCACCACCCATTGGTCAAGAGGTGCAGGGATCAAAAAGAAATATCTGATTGGCCAACGAAAAAGTGAGGGCGATGTTGAGTTACCTTTCATTTCGGAAATATTAAGATCGAGATTTTGTGGTCTCTACTTTGATCGCAATCTACTTTCGCGTCGGGAAAGTGGTCTGACCTCGGCTTCGCAATTTGCTCGTGTCGTCATGACTACAAAAATGGGTGCACCTTGTCCGAAGTCCTCTGCTGCCATGGGTATGATAATTATCAGCGTCGAATTGTGGATTTAGTGCCATGGCAGAGGAGTTCGGGTAAGTTGCGTCCGTCTAGTCCACCTTGAAAAGACAACCAAGTTGTGAAAACGAGGACAAACATCTTCCATACCTTTCATGTTGTCTGAAAAGCGGTTAGAAAGGATTTGTAAGTAAATATTTTCATCACACACAAATTCACACGAAATGAAATTGGTCACAAAAATATTATCTCAAGAGATTCTTAAACTGCCATTTTACTCCGCGGCTACTTCGTGCCAACCCTTCCTGCTGGAGTTGATGTATGAAAATAAAGTAGACGCAGTCACAGTCGCAATATTTTCGTTTGTTCTACGATAGTGGATTCATGGGTGTGTGTGTGTATGTGTGTATAAGATACTCATAAGTCAGTTGACATCTTATGGCCCAAACCACGCTTGCTTTGTGGTTCTTTTTTCGAAACCCTTCTTCCATTCATCTCTAAAAGGTGGCGGAAAACCTCCAAACACACCCATCTCTCTCGAATCGAGCGATTGAGAGGAAAATATGTTCAAGCATTTGAGTTGCCTATGTGATTTTGTGTTCGTGTCGGTGTGTGGAAGTGTGTATGGTTGTGTGGTTTGTACCTCGCCCATTCCTGACACTTGGTTTTCTACCCGCCCACTCCCCCCCCGTCAACTCAGGTGGAATCGACCAGATGCGTCAGGCCGTCACTATGGTGCTCGATGTGATCGCGAGCGACACACAATCGGCCAGTTGTCCCAACATCACATACCTCGACGTGCAGGGCCCCGTGGCCAGCATTTATCCCACCGGCTCGCCCTACTCCAATCCCGCGGCGTCCCTGCCCGGCCAATTGATGCTGGCCGCCAGTCCTCCGGGACCCGCGGCTGCCGGTCTGAGTCTGGCATCGACGAACGCGGCCGCGGCTGCGGCGACGGCGACGGCGACGGCGACGGCCACTCTCCTCGCCGCCGGAGCTCAGCCAATCGACGCCTACGCCTTCCAGATGGGCCACGGCGGCTCGGCGATGGGCGCCGCGATGGCCGCAGCCGCGCAAATGGCCCTCGCCGTGACCGGACAGAACGCCGCCACCGCGACTGCGTCCACGGCAACTGCCGCCGCCGCTGCCGCCGCTTGGATGGCGATCACGGGACAAGCGCACACTCCCTACCTCGCGCTGCCACACCAACTCACCACCGGCCACCTTCTCCACACTCACCATCAGCATCAACATCACCAGCAACAACAACAGCACCAACAGCCGCCTCCGCCGCCGCTGCCGCCACCACCACTGTCCATATCGCTTCCACCGCATCACCAACATCAGCATCAGCATCAGCATCAACATCAACACCAACATCAACACCAGCAGCAGCAACAACAACAAGCCATCCAAACTGCTCTTCAGTTTGTGTAAGCGTCTCATATTTGTCAGCCAATCTCAACTTAAAACCGTACAATCGAAGGTATAAAGACCAAGATGGTGTGGCCTTTTGTGTGGTCGCAGTCTCCTTTCGTTGTTGTTAGAAGTTGTTTGACCTTGTTTTTGCAACTTGGTCATGTTGGTAGGAAGACTCAGAGGAACACATCTCGTCCGGGGTCCATTGTCTGCATGATCATTTCCAAAGTTGAACCGTGCACGTGGTACATTCCCAAACGT